ACACATAGACCTAGACCAACACTGTCTTTCTTACTTGTCTCTTCTGTCCCTGAGTGCTCACCTGCCTACCTTGTGTGGTCTGATCCTGAGCATTCTCTGGGCAGCTGCCTGAGTTTCAAACCCACACCTCCCTGTCCCATGTGCATGTACAGCTGATTCTTTGGGGTGTGTCTGCTGGCCGAGGAATGTGCTTGTTCTATGGTCTCTAGATCTCTCTTGTTTTAACTGAAGTCCCCTTCCTGGCCCTCCCTGGCCCGTCCTGGCCAACCCAGTTTTGTGAATACCCATTCTCCTGCGAGATACCCACTCCACTGGAAGCCAGATAGTATGCTTGGGAAAATGAACACATTTCATAGCAATTCAAACATCCCTCCTCCAAAATAAAACATGCAAAACTTAAAACTTGAAATGACTATTGAATATACTCAGTAACCTGTAGCTCAGAGTACTTCTTGTGTTTTTATAAGGAGAGCTTAGAAGGAGGCCAAAGAAAGAATTATTGTGTAGAGCAGGAAGTTTAGATGGAAAATATTCTCAACCCTGTTCAGTGAGGGTGGTAAGGTTGTGTGGGGGGCAGGGATCATTTTTCCTTCTTCACATTGGGAGAGGGGAGAATATATGATGAAAAGATTAAGCAAGATGATCTCATTATGTTAGATTTCCTAAGTGATAAACCTAGGATAACTGCTGAGGATAATTTGGGAAGATTAAGTGCTAGATTTGCAGGGTGGATATTTGGAGGATATACACCAACTCACCCAAAATGGCTTTATAGCTTCATCCTTTCTGACTACTCAGCATCCATGCTATACTGGCTGCTAAATGTTTTTAATAACAACCCTGTCTTATAGAACAGCTCTTGGAACATGGTTAGTGCTAGATAAGTATTATTGTCAATATCATCATCATTACGTCACTTTACTCTCAAGGATTGAGATATTTTAAAAATTATTTGAGTCATTTTTAAGAAAGCAGAATCAGTATGGCAAAGATATTTCATATACATATTTTATAAAGAGACAGAGAAACCCTGATTAGCTAAAGCTATTAAAAATGAAAATGCGTTACTGCTAAAGTATTATTAATAGTTTGAAGTCACCTTAAAGGGTTAACTGTAAGTTTTCAATATCACTTATTCAAGGAAAGATAGATCTGCCTTGATTTGGCCTCTTCCAGCCAAATAATTAATTTTAAAGACATACACACAGACACATGCAGAGATAATAGTATTCTGATTATGGTTTTTAAAAACTCATCCTTTAGAGCTATATATGAAAATATTTATGGAAAAAATGTTTGTCTCAAAATCTAATGGAGGAAGATATAGAT